TCGTAGGGAAATCCCCCACTGGGATACTAGGTGAAGCAAGAACACTAAAGAAGGACAAACAAGAGAAGAGGCCACCTGAGGAGCCTTTCCATATTCTGAAATCTTCCAAGGATGGGTCCCAATGAACTTGTCCTATTAGGTCCAGCAATTGAATTAAAGAGTCACATTCATTTTCCCTGAGGCCCCTTCTGAAAACCAGATTCCAATTAACCCCATTTGGACTAGGATTTCCCAATTTTCTTACTGTTTCCCCATTGAAATTTGACAAAGTGTAGAGGTCAGGAAAAAGGTCCTTAAGTGGACTATCTCCCACCCAAAGGTCTTCCCAAAAACGAATTTTATTACCCTGGCCCACATCAAATCGAATGGAATTAAGGAATGTCGGGTAAATTTCATAAATTGCTTTCCAAGGAGAAGCTGAAGAAACATGGGGGGCGGGGGGAGGGGCGACTTTTGCATCCCATACAACTTTTAACTTTTAACCCTTAGACACTAACCCGCAACTTGCTTCCAAAGCCTGCATCCCTCACCAATCCAAAAACAATAGTGCTCAACCAATGAAACATATCCCTAAACAAAAATCTCAAGCTATCACCAATCTGAGATAGGACTTTCAGCATTCATCAGGAACTCTAGTTCTAATTCCCAAAACAATCTTCTAGTGTAGTCTTCCCCTCCTAGAACCAAAAAACCCAACTTCTTGCCAATTTGGACTCCAGTTCCCACTAGTTCTTCCTCTTCAACTTCTTCTAAATCATCCTCTTCCTCCCAACAACACCCCTTCTTTTGCCAAAGTTTCTTCAATAATATTTGCCAACTTATCTCTCTTGTCACCACAAACTGGAAAAAGGGTTGGAAGATTCAAAACAATAGTATCTCTAACCAAGCAAGTTGTCTTTCAATTTTTCCCTTCTGTACACTCTCTTGAATTTGCTACTTAAACCTGCATTTATGAGCCCATCTTTCAACCTAGAGAAAACTTTGGTAAATGTGAATTAGATGCCCATTGTTGGTGCTCCTTGTCTTTTTAGACTTCACTGAGGATTTCCTATTCCCTACTTCTTCCTACCAAGATCTTTTCCCAATTTCCCCACTATTACTTCTAAGAAAATTACCTCTTTCCCCTCAGAACTCTTACCAACTCGATCACTTGCATTATCCCTCTCAAAGGTATTTGACCTCAACACTGGCATCAAATGAAACATCTGAAAGAGAAACCTCACTAAGCTCCCACAAACTAACTTCATCCCTAATAACTTGATCTTCCATCACTGTCTCTACCTCACCCGTAGATAGGGGAAAAGAAGACATTACCTCTCCACTGCAATCAACCTGAATATGCTCTTGCTCCACCCCTTCCAAAGCTGTAACAATCTCCAGACTTTTTTCTTGCCAAAGCTAACACCAAAACACTCCGAACCAGAAGAAAAGACAAACTTTCCATCACTTTGTCCTCTTGAGGAGGTCCAAGATTCAAAACAATCGACCTATTTTCTTGAGGGAACTTCGTTACCACCCATTCCCAAATACCATCAACTTTCCCATTTTTTGTGTGATTGCTTTTGAAACTCCTCTTTAGGGATCAATTGTTTGTGCCTAACTAGATTACTGAAACTCAGCTACAACATCGATTTACCTTTCCTGATATGAAGCTTCTCCTTGTTGGAAGGGTTTAGAATCCAACATATGGATGGCCGAACCATACTAGATGGCTGGGCGAAATTTCAAAAATTTTTCTAACCCTTGCGGGAACCAATTTCCCTGTGAATTTGAAAACTGAATTTTCTAAGTCGATCTTACACTAAACCARACCAGATTTGAAACCAAATCAAGAGGAGAGAATTATACCTGATACGGATACCACAAACACAAATCCCAAAGTAGAAGTTCACGCACAAACCAGTCCTAAAAACCAGCCTCCACTGAAGATGGCGCAATGTATAGGTGAATCCAGTTCAGCGACATTGTTTTCAGCAAAGCTATGATCCAACTTTCTTGAATCGAATGAGGAGAGTGAACTTGAAATTTTTCTGAGTTTTTCTAGCAAAAACAAGGAAGAAAACTTATCTAAATCATTTCTTGAAAGCTTAAGTCGTCATAGGGTTTCTTGAAAGACAAAAAAGAACAAGAGAGAACAAAAGAGAGTGGTGTTCTAGTCTGGTTCGCCCTCTTCTTATTTTATCTCCTTATGGAGCACTTTCCTAATCAAATTAGGAGATTATCCAAATCTAATTTGGATCTGGACTCTATTAAGAGATAAGCCTTATCCTCTTAAGAGGATGGGTGCTCCATACCCATTTTCAAATCCAGATTCGACCCAGAGCACATGACAACTTGACAACTTAAGTTGTCATGTGACAAATCTTATTATTCATGGGCCTTAGGCCCATTTACTTCAAAGGCTCCCAACCCAAGATGTTGCATGGCCACTTTAGGCCTAATATTGTATGGCATGGGACCCCACAATGATTTCACATAAGCCCACATGGGTACGGCCCAACCTCTGAAAGAGGCTATGCCGAATTCATTGCTCAGGGCAATGAACCCCTAACGCAATCAACATTGGTCCAGTTTGGGCCCAACATTTACACCTAAATGATCTATGGATTCAGCCACCCTATGAAGACCCAAGGATAATGGACTCATGTAAGACAAAGCCCATCAGATAATCAGCCCTGTAATGGTCTCTTACATCAACCTCTCAGCTCATAATGATCAAACACTGCCCGACAGGGAAGGACCTTTCCCCTGGATGTAAGGTGTAGTGCCACACTCTCTACTAAGATGGATCCCACGATTAAAACCTTTTACAAAACTTTTTCATAAAATAGTAGTATATATAACATATAAATACTTTTGCAAAACCAAATTTCAAACACAAGTGAAATCCACTGTCAGCAGTTTAGGTTTCCATCAGAGAGAGTGTAAACCCTGATATTCACTTTGTCTAGGGGTGAATTCGAGCCGAGCCGAGCTGAATAGTACGAGGCTCGAGCTCGACTCGAGACTATTCTACAAGGCTCGAGCTCGGTTCGAACCAGAACCTTGAGCTTGAGCCCAGCTCGAGTCAAACAATTATAAGCTCGAGCTCAATTTTAAGAAAAAATGTCTTATAAAAATATTTTTTCTTTGATATTTAAAAAATTAAGAATTATAATATTTTTATTACATATATATTATTTTCTATAATTTTATTATATATATTCAAGTCGGCTCACGAGCCTCATGAGTCGAGCTCTAGTAGGCTCGATCTCGGCTCATTTCATAATCGAGCCAGTGAATTGGGCTCGAGCTTGGCTCGAAGCTCGGTTGAAATCGAGCCAAGCTCAAATAGCTCATGAAAAGCTCGGCTCGTTGCCACCCCTAACTTTGTCCGACAAAGGGGCCAGTCTTATCACTATGATCACCCACTTAGGTGAATTCTTAGACTGCACCAACACACTCAGGTATTTGACCCTTAATGGATCTCATTGGTTGGCATATCAAAGACAGTCTAGTCCAACACCTAGTGTAGTACTATAATCAAGTCTGGGGTTATGTGTAACTTTCCAATTTTGCCCATCTATCTCCAAGGTCCAGGACATAACGGGAAATTGGTTCGAGTTCAATGCTTATAATAAACACCCACTGGTTATTCTAACCCTAACAACTAAGACAAGCTACTCCAACTCCTTGGCAGCATAGTCAGTCTTGTCAGGATAAACTCCCCAAATCTATCCAATAGTTGAGAACATTCTAAACACAAGTCTCTTAAGTGTCCAGTTTAAGGGGTAATACATAGAAAAGTACCAATATCAACATGAAACAACAATGTACTTTATTCATTTACATAATATACATTTAAAAAACAGGAAAGCTAAGCCAAGTTTTGATAGTAGGACCATTGAAGATCAAATTCAGAGCCCATGTTTTGAGCCTCATAACTAATATACATTTAAAAAACAGAAAAATAACTAAAACTTATAACTATCTATATTTTATCTAATACATTATATATAAATCATGTATATATAGTGTCTAAGCAAGCAAAACTTAAAACAAATTGCGTTTACGAATCATGGTCAGGGTCATTTAGTCAAAGGAGTCAAACTCAAGCTAAGACCCTATGAGCCTTAATGTCATCCACAGCTTCATTTAATGCTCCCTCATTTATGCATCTGCCTCACCAACTTATTCTCCTTACCCATGTCATATACATTATACAGTAATTATCTTTGCTCCAAAATGAAGTTTCTTTCCTTTTGACCTTCAGATTGGTGGTAACAAAACAAAATAGAGCCACTTTATAGGTAATCTGGACATGAAAATGTGACTTGCAGTTGATACACAACACATAAATTGAGTTTTATTCAACTGGTCTCCACTTCATCCACTCTTCTGAACATCTATGGATATATCCTTAAGAATGGCTACTTATTGCTTTGTGAACCAGGTGCCAGAAAGGCATAATTTTGCATGCATATATCTATCTCCTTGACATTGCTCTAGCCTGGTCATTCAAGGCATCCTCTTCTTTAATCCAGAGTGAATCCCTTGTTCCCTTATATTCCTAGATCAGCCAATTTAATAGCTGTCAACCTTGTGATAAAGGAAGTATTAAGGAGTAAGATCTTACAAGATCATGTCAAATTGAGGTTTATTTTTACATAAAGGAACTGATTGACAGACCAGACAGACCAGGATACAAATTCCTAATAGAGATTTGATGCTTTGTATTTACACCTCTCATACTTATTCAATAAATTTACATTTATCAATAATCTGTTTGAAAGTGCAGAATTAACAACAAAAAGCTTAGACTACAAAAAAAGAGGAACCAACTAGAGTCTTAACTCCAAACAACTTTGAAGTTTTTCCAATGATTTAACTTGCTTTAACTTAAAATGAGTTTAAGAACTTACTCGAACTTCTCCTTACAAACCCTTAAGAGAGTATTTAAAGATAAATACACTGAACACTATAAAAATTGAAGAAAAATCTTTAGGAACTACAAGTTTCACCTCATAGCAGTTCTTCTGGTATTCGTTCAGAAAGGTTAAAGCAATGGCAGACCAAGAAGATCCAAATTTATCCTGAAACACCAAAAGAAAATAATAATAATAATAATAATAATAATAATGTATTGCAAATCACAGAATTTAGGGGGTGAAAGAATAGGAGATGAGACAATGACAACAAATAAAGAATTATCTGACATGAATGAACCTGCAAGATTTCTTGCTGAATATATGGACGGCTTAGACGATCAAAGTCCCATATACCCTCCCTCTCGAGTTCTTCCTACAAAGGAGTCAACACTATGACCATAAATTATTCAGAAGAAAACAAAAATAGTTGAACTCTGAGATATCCATTTCTGTCAAACTGTATTGAACCTATCATATATTTTTACCTAGCCTATTAATTAATTCATGTTTTTGAACCAAGAAAGCATCAATATACCTGACTTAGAGGGATAGAAGGTCGAAATTTTCCAACTAAACCAGTGATAGCAGGCTCAGGAAGCTCCCAGATTCTAAAGAAACCCAAAATATGATCTATTCTGTATGCTGTGAAATACTTTGCCATCTGTGGTTACAAAAGATAAGTGTCAATTGATGAAAAAATAATTCTGATTGGGTAGCAGAAATTTCAATCAAATCCACACTGTAAACAGGATAAATGGGAACAAAATACACAAGATACCTGTGATAAACGAGCACGCCACCAACCATAATTGTCTTTTGACATTTCCTCCCAATTATAAGTGGGAAAACCCCAATTCTGTCCATTTTTATCAAAATAGTCTGGAGGTGCTCCAGTAGATGTGTTCATGCGAAACAAATTTGGGTACACCCAGGTATCAACGCTGTTCCTGTCCACACCAATGGGAAGATCTCCTTTCAAGATCACTCTTTTCTCTCTTGCATATGCTGCTGCTTCTGACAACTGCATTCATAAATTTAAGCATTAAAACACAAATTCTGGATTTCAAGCATGGCAACCGATGATAAACATACATAAAGGATTAAGATTGTCTTACTTGTAGATGTAAATGGAACTGAATATAATAATGGAAGCAAATGATGTCATAGTGCACACTATCCTTTGAAACAATCTTCTCAAGCTGAAACCACAAGAAAAATGCTATTAGAGTTTTCAAGCTTACAGAGAGAGGAGCCATGTACAAGAGTCATTAAACAATACCAGAATTACTAGACAAGGATTTCTAGCATCCTGAAAAAAAAAAATCCAACAGTATGCAATTCAGAACTCATTTAAAAGGAGAAACAGGATCAACCTTCTCTTTTGAATAATGGGAGAAGCGGCCCCATTGGCTGAAGTCTGATGTTTCAAAAAAGTCACGCAAGAAACAAAATGCTGCATAGGGTTTTAACCAATCCTGTTGCAAAGAGGACATGACTAAAAAAGCTATAGTTGAATCATAATGAAAATGAAGTGAATAAATTTGTAGAATCCAATATTATGAAACAGAAGCTAAAAATAATTGAGAGGTCTAAACTGAACAAATGGGTTACAAACAAAAGAATCTGATAATGAAATAACCATAGAAATACCTCGTTCTCAGAGAAAAATTTCTGAAAGGAACTGGAATTAAGTATAGAATCTTTCTCTAGGTAGAAAATTCTTTTGGAAATTGAGAGCTTAGTGGACATAGTGGTCTCGTAATCAACATCCTGTAAAACTCAAACTATAAAATACTGAAAGCATGTAGTATATCATGGATTCACAGAGTATAACAGTTTTTACCAAACATGGTAATTATGCGCATTTAGAAAACCAACCCAATTACCAAATTATTCGAATCAAGAAAATAGCCAATAAAAGTGCAGATTCCAAATTATTAGGATCATAAAACGTCTCTTTATACATGGGTCCAAACTTAGGACCCTCACATGGACTTGTTTGGGCTGCCTCACGGGGCCTTTACAGAGGCAAAGGACTAATCTCATAGAATTAGGAATGCAAGATATTTAACATTACATTAGCTACCTGAAGTAATGCAACTGGGAGAAAAATAAACAGATTGAAAGCTTCATATGCTTGAATTGTTGAGTGCTTGAATGTGTTTTATATGTTATCTTCGCGTTTATTTTTACATTTTCACATTGAATATATTCTATATGTTATTTTCATGTATTTTACTTTGAGCCAATAGGCTTTTTTATCAACAAATAAGACTTTTATTAAGATCAGAGAAATATTGAATTACAAGAGTTAGGTTTCAGCACTGCACTGACCCAAGCTACAAACGCATACAAACACATACAAACAATTATAGTTCTGCCCAGAACAAGGTAATCTATTTGCCCCCTGTTTTGCTAGGGTATCCGCCAAACCATTTGCAATCCTTTAAACCCAGCCAAACTGAGAGTTGAACCTCCTTGCAAGTATGTCGGTTTCCCTATAGATAAATTTGAGTTTCCAAGGTGCTGATGTGATTTGTTTAGCCCAAAAAATGACCAGTAGTGAGACTCCTTCAATTTCTAAATCTGTTGCTCCAATCTGCTCAGCCAGCTTTAATCCTTGTAGGAGAGCCAGAGTATCATCCTAAATTCAGTCACCAATACCTATTGGTCCTGAGAAAAGTGCCACAACTTCTCCTTGATGATTTCTAAGCACACTCCCTACACCTGCCCTTCCCGGGTTGCCAAAGGAACTCTCATCAAAGTTTAGTTTTAGTTTATTTAGTGCAGGTGGCTTCCACTCCACTCTCACAATTTCTTTGGGTACATCTGTTTGTGCCACTTCAGTCCAGTTCCTTGGAATGTCATTCATGGAGAAGTTTTTGAATAGTTCCATGGTCATCACCCAATGTGCAGTTCTGATTTTTATGGCTTCAATGACTTCTCCTTTGATTTGCTTTTTTCAAAGAAAATTCTTTGATTTCTTTCCTCCCATATAGTCCATACCACAGCAGCTCGTGCTGCCTTCCATAAACACTTTCTTCTTTTCTTCTGTTGCCTCAGGAAAGAGGGGGCTGAAGAGATTTACTACATCCTGTGGGGGAGCCCATCTTCATCCAAAGAGAGAACAAACAATTTCCCAAATACAAGAAACAAAAGAGAAGGATAAGAGTAAATGGGGTAGGGTTTCACCAGAAGCCTTACAAAGGACACACACATGAGGAGAGAGGCATTTGTTTAGCCTTGTTTTCCATAGCACATCACAAGTGTTTACCTTCCCTAGGAACACTTCCCAACAGAAGGCTTGTACTTTAGAAGGGATCAGTTTGCACCAGACTTCTCTGGGAAGTTTACCCCAAAATTTCAGAATGATTGAGCAGACTAAAGAAAGAGGCACAAGAGAATAAGCCATCAAAGGTTGGGGACCAGATTCTACTAACAACTGTATTTTGGTATAAGTGGACCTTCTCTAAGGTTTGAGATCAAGAGCAATAAGGAAGCACATTAATTATCCCTCAGATCCCTTTTGAAGCCAAAGTCCCAAGACAGACCCAAGTTTGAAAGCACACCAACCCTAGCAACAGGTTCATTTTTGAGGTTTGACAAGGAGTAGAGGTCAGGGAATTTAACACTAAAGGGCAAATCCCCTACCCATAGGTCTTCCTAGAATAACACTTTATTGCCACACCCAACACCAAAGTGGATTAAGAAAGGTTGGTAGTACCTCAAAGATTGCCCTTCAGGGGGAGTTTGGAGCTGTGTTGGAGGCTAGTTTTGCATCCCAGCCGTTTTCTGCTTCACCATGAATGTTTTTAATGAGCTTGTGCCACAACCTATCTTCTTCACAAGGGAATTCTCCATAGCCATTTCCCTAGGAGGGTCATATTCTTCTTTAAAATGTTCCCTATACCTAGGCCACCTTACTCCTTAGGTTTGCAGACTTGTTCCCACTTCACTAAGTGATCCCTCCTTTCATCACCGGGTTCCCACAAAAATTCCCTCATTATCTTTCTAACTTCCTAGCTATTCTTATCGGGATCCTAAAGGTGGAGAGGAAATAAGTGGGCAGATTTGCTAGGGTGGATTTTTTTTTTTTTTGATCAATAACACTTTCATTAATTCATCAGTAGAAAATTTACAGGTGGAAGACAAACACACTTATCTTCCAAGAGTCACAAAGAACTTCAAGAAATGAAAAAAGAAAAAACAAAG